TCTCTGTCTCTCTCTGTCTGTCTAGCGAACGCACGTGCCCTATAGCAAAAACCTCTCAAAAAAAGAAAAAAAAAGAATTTAAAATATAGTGACAAAGCTAACAGAAATGCAAGAGAAGAGAGACAATAAACTCCAGAAGGTGCAAGAGTAAAAGATGTGTTCCAGGTGAAGAGGTTCCTGCACTATCTAAAAGAAAAGATCATAAAAAAGAATCAAACAGAATTGTTAGAGACGAAGGCTGTAATACAGGAAATCAAAACCTCCCTTGAAAATATCCAAAGCAGATTAGATCATGCAGAAGACTAAGTCTCAAAAAATAATAATAAAAGATCAAATCTCAGATGTAGAAATTTCTGACCTAGAAAAAAAAATCACCAAAAAGACTAAGAAAATAACCCCCCCAAAATGAGACTAACATACAAGTAATACTAGATATCATTAAACGCCTAAACATAACGGATCATTGGTATCCCAGAAGGTGAAGAAACGAATAAGGCATTGATAATCTATTCCATGAAATCCTGCAAGAAAACTTTCCAAATCTAGAGGGGCACTCGAATATCCAGACCCAAGAAATACAAAAGACCCCACATAGATTCAACCCAAGATCATCTTCCCCAAGGCACATCATAGCCAGATTGAGCAAAACCACAGACTGTCCTGACCTGGGGGGACAGCCGAACAGGTTTTCTGAGTGAAGGAGTGAGAGCCGGGACAAGCGGCGTAGTGTTACAGCACGGAGACGACAGTGTCGTCTGTTTATTGTGGGCAGCACGGTACAGCACAGAGACGACGCAGTGTCGCGTCATCTACTGTGAGCAGCACGGAGACGACGCGGTGTCACAGCTCTTCAGGGTCGTCTGGAGACGATGTAGTGTTACAGCTCTTCAGGGTCTCCCAAGTCGTCTGGAGACAATGCAGTGTCAGCTCTTTAGGATTTTCAGGGTCGTCTGGAGACTGGGCGGTGTTTTAGCTCTTCAGGCTCTTCAGTTGTCTTTTTGGTTGTCGTCATCGTCTCGGTCGTCGTCGTCTGTCTACTGTGGGCCAGGCATCGTGGTTATATACACTCTGGTGGGTTGTAAACGGTGGGCTGTGATTGGTTGTAAACGGTAGACTGTGATTGGTTGTAAACGGTGGGCCTTGATTGGTTGTTAATGGTGGGTTATGATTGGTTGCTTTTGGACCAATCATGAGGTGCTAGATATGCAAATTTGAGGGATTTTAGTGGCCAATCAGAGCAAGGTTTCGAAGGTCAGGTTTTTGGAAGGGAACCAATCATGGTAATTGTTTGCTCTCTGAGAAACCTCGGCAGACTCGCTGGTGCGCAGCTTCCCACATATCCCCCCTCTCTGTTTTAATTTGAGAGATGAGGAAAAGGCCTGGGGGAATCGTGCCTGTCTTACGTTGGAGTCATTTATGGAACCATATGTCCATTTTTACCCGTTATTGGAGAGTCCCATAGCTATGATGGGCTTCCTGTCTTAGGTGGAAGGACTGAACAGTTATTGGGTTTATTAGACTCTCTTACCCGTCTTTGGCTAACCGATTTAGCACCTCAGGCGAGACCAGTATAGGGGTGTTGGTCTTCCATAAGTGAGTCAATTTGTTGTTTGAGGAATGGCATGTGCTTATTAAATACAACAGGTCTCAGTGAGCAAACAATTAAAAAGGCAATGAATGGGCCAAACAGGGGGAGTAGGAAAGGGAGGAGACCGTTTTAGCAGACCATCAGCAATGTTGTTGGAGAGATTTTTGGAGTTGATGTATCTTGTCACGAGCGATGCTGGACTTGTTGGCATAAAAGTAGCAGCGTTTTTGTAAAACAAGACAGAGACCCCCCTGTTTTGATCTAAACCTCGTCTATTTTGAAGAACCATCTCAGCTGGGGAAATCTAGTTGATCTGAGATAAGACCCTCAGTGACTTGGCGTAATAACCCAAGCCAGTGGAGCCAGCAGCTGTAGCTGCAGTTAGGGGAACATAAAGGCTGAGAGTTTTGAGATTTAAGAAGTATAGCTTGGGCTAATGTTTGCCAATCAGACGATGTAAGCCAGCCCTCGGTGATAGCTTTAACTATAGCTAAGGTATATGGAGCAGTAGCTCCGTATTGGGCGACTGCCGCCTTAATCTCTTTTACCATAAACCTGCTGTGACGACGCCAAACCTGTCCTTGGGGATTTGTAGTTTTTATAACAGGGAATGTCTCAAAGTCTGTCATATGTGATCCCTGAACTAGTTTTGTTTCTTTGTCTGTATTGGTTTTTAGTTTCTCTAATGGTGATATAAAAGGTATTTGTATGGATGATATTAAACCCACAATGTAGAAAATGCTATATGCTATGTAGACTCTTTTGCTATATCTCTGCATCAGTAACAACACAAACACATGCAGTGGAATAAGGTTGATGATAAACACATAATTATCCCAAGCAGAGACCATATAGAAATATGATAAACAGCAGCACATTGTCCAAAAAACTG